GAATTTTTTTGTTGCAAGTATATATAAAGTTCAAGTCGCTTTTATTTCTTATCTTAACAACACATTGTAATGATAGATAAAATAGAAAGGAAAGTCTTTCATACAAAACAGAGATAAAACAACATATGAAACAGCGGTTATGTTGTTCATACTTTCTAGATGGATAGTTCTCGATTTGTCTTACATTTTTTTCTAGTACTCACTAGTCGATCTCGTACATTGATTAGTGTGAACATGTTTTATTTTTCTATCATTTATCAAAATTACACATATTTTACATTAGGTGATCAAATTAGAAACTCGAATCGATTTGATTGATTGAATTCAAATTAAATATAACATCAGAGAATTATACATAAAAAAAAGAACAAATAAAAGTATAGATTTTCATTAGAAGAATCAAATAGTGTAATTCTAGATTAAGACATACGCATATGCCAAAACAACTTTTTTCTTGAAGCTTTGATATAATTTGATTTGAATGATTGAATTAGAAAAGAAAAATAGCTGATGTGATCAAATTAAGAAAGAAACAGAACAGATAAAAATGATGAGTAGACATCCTTGTAACGATTGCTGCTAAATAGTTTTGAATAAAAGTTATATGCAACTATAGAGCAATGTTTACTCTGAAAAATAAGAATTAGTTCAAACAGATATTCTAGAATAAAGCTACAAATGTTTTTATTTTTATTTAAAAAGATCAAATTTTATGATCAAATTAGTGTTTTGACACTTGATCCAACATTGCTTACAATAAGCTCTTGGTTGACTATGAAATGTTTGACATCATCTACATTGAAAGTGTCATCACGCTAATAAAATAGATAAAAGTTTTCGTAATTTCATTTGTCTAATAGAAAACATTACAAACGTCATCTATTTGTTGTAAAAGAACAACAAGAATTTATTTTCTATTGATCATTGTCATGATTCATTATAGAAATGAGCTAGTTAAGTCAAAAATGAGTTGAAAATTTTTTGATGAAATGATGATTTATCTTAAGTTGATTTAAGTCAGAATGACTTGACTTGACCTTGGACTTCGTCTTTTATAACAAGTCAAGTTAACTCATAAATAAACGGATGCATCTACAATTTAATGGTACTTGCACATAAATTGCTGTGTGAAGCATACTGCTCATGTTATGAATGTGTTATTAAACTGCAGATGTATGCTAATAAACTATAGTTATTTTTAATACGAATCAAGAAAATAGTGTTTTCGACAACTCGTATTCATCTCAAGATCACATTTAGATACGAAGTAATACGTCTAATCGCTTCGGCAGTTGTTACTAGGTTTTCTTCATCAAGCTAAATGATATCTAAAATTTCTCATGATGAGTTCTTTAAAGGTCTTCAATATAATAAAGAAAAAAAAAACAAAATATAGACAACTGAATGTTAATAATGTAAAAAAAGTCAACAAGAATTTTTGATATGATAGTTGTTACTTCATATTATACGTGAAATACCCAAAAATAACCATAAAGAAGTTTTTGACGTATGTTTACAAAACTTATATAAATTTAAAACTAGTTTACTAGAAAAAACCAATGAATATAATTATAAATCATTTCCTAAAAACCTGTCATACACTATCATGTTCAACAGAGTAATATCAATCATCCTCGACAAGTCAAGTAGTATACATTAATTTTATGAAAACTAATAATCTCAAATTCAGCATGGCAAATCAAACAATAATTCCTTTTGTAAATAGAACATAAGCATAATCAATTAAAATCTTCTTTTGTTTTAGTTCAATAGACATATTTTTATCTTTATCTTGACTATCTAGCATCACTGGAGATTAAGATTCTTTTTCGTCATAATGGATATGATCCTTTTCTTTTCAAGGACTAATTCATATATTGCTCCCATTTGACTTCACTTGAGTCGAAAAATCATTGACTTTGTCTATCTCTAGTTCAATATAATAAATATTGCAAGTAAAATAATACTAAAAGTCATCTAAAAATAAAAAAGGCACATTCATGTCAATCATACAATAACAAAACAATGAAAAGAAGTAAGTACATCAAAGTTGATCAATGATATATATAATCCCAACACAGGAAATGAGAACTCAAAATAGACCACTAACGGCAGTATTATCATACATATCATCTTTTTCACACCACTACTTTTTTATTTATAATCTACACAAATTTTTTGGTACATGTTAATAGAACACACTTTTCAACTTTCTGTTACCTGAATGTTATATTTAAACGTAAATGTTACTTCCGTACTGTATTCTTTAAACATTCTACTAAAATAATCAAGATTTCATACAGGCAAAAAAAGAATTTTCTATGTAAATAGTTACGATATTCGTCAGTATAGTATCAAATTATTAAACAAAAATGATACAAATATTCGATAAGTAATATAGATTTAAAAAATTATCAAAACACTCACATTGATGTCTAAAAAACATAGCACTTGTATGCATATTATTAATCTAAAGTATAGTAACTGTATCAAATAAAGTACATATATTATTACTCGATGCTCAATATATTATTGAATGACTTGAAACAGATGAAAAAATGATACAAAAAAAAGCTGTTTATAATGTAACTAAACTTGTTTATTATTCTACGACAATAAAACATGGTATTCATGGTAGTCCATCAGCACTAGTGAATAAAGCTTGGCATGTACATA